AAATTGCTTTCCGTAGTATGAACAGTTAAACGGCTTCGGTGTTGAATTTACCAACGAGTGACGGCTGACATCTTCCTCGTTTGGAAACGAACGCAAACTCAAATATTGAAACGAATTCTGGAATATGTGCGTCTTCATGTGGGTTATTCGATTTGGTGAACGTTTTCTGGCAGATCTGGCTTGTTATTATTGTGCTGCATCACGTGATCTCCCGTATCGTCCTCATTCACATCCGGTACAGATGTTGAACTTCTGATTTGCACAGTAAATCTGGACGTGTTTGGCCAGTCCTGTTGGATGATGAAACTACGTTCGATAGAACTTGCGATACTTGTTGGATTATTCTTCTGGTTGAAAAGCTTTAGAAAATTGTGTAAGCAAGGGACGTTTGTTCGAGTGGGTCCTAACGTGAATCTAAAGTCCATTGCCTTAAGTCTTTTCCACAGTTTTCACACTTGTACGACTTCTGTCCCGAATGAACCAGCATGTCCTGAAAAAGGTTTCATATGCCAGAGGATTACATCTGCAACGAAATGACCTCAAAGAACATCCACCGAATCAACCTAAAAAGACAATTCCTACCTATACGGCTTTTCAGTGGTTTGTGGTGCACTGTTAGCTTTGCAGCTGTCTAGAATTTCTGGTATACAATGCAATCAACCAGTTTTCCAACTCCCTCCATCCAATGGTTCCGGATCCTTTACCGTTGCCGTTAGCTATTCCCACCTGGTAAAGCGTTCTGTTGTGAAACTCATTTTGAGAATGTCAATGAATTTACTTGTAGAGAATGGGCTAGGTGTTATGGAATCGGCGTCAAAAGAATTCTATTTTTATCTCAACTCGTCTCACCTCAGTCTCACGTGGTTTTCAGCGCTAATGTCCCACAAGCGGACATAATGATCCGCTCTTCTAATTTCCCCCGTACTAGTTCCAAGTATTGATCTCATCAGTAGCTTGAGGTTCAATAGACTGTGGTGCTACCGGACGAATGGATTCAGATTCATCAACGCCATAATGCACTGTGAGTATACTGATGATCCAACGCGAAGGTGGATATCTGAATTATTCCATTAACATTTTCTTCTAATCTATATTAATCACTTAACACAGTAAGCGACCAGAAACCGATATTAACTTATGTAACTACCGATTATAATAACTTCCAGCAAGATGTCGATCTCCTAATTATTAAATTGGATCATTTTATGGAACGAGAGAAATAATTTATAAACTTAGTATACATTTGAAATAAATTTTAATCAAATCACCACCCTTTGTTTTGAGTGAACAACTTCAATGACAGCTGTCCAGCAGTGCTCCCATTTTATTTAATGAACAATTCAATGCCTACGAGATTGTGCCGAAGATGCGCCGAATCTACTTTCGGCACACTGTGCTGAGTGTCTTACCCCTTTATTTCAGTTGTTTGAAACCGTTTCCTGTAAAAAATAACATATACTAACAAATAACAAATAGTGGAAAAAATGTACCAAAAGCTCTTGTTCTACGATTTTTGACAAATTTTCAAGTGTCTTCAGATTTGAATGTATCGAATGTTTGAATTTGTCATGAGCTTTCAATTTTTTTTTTTAATTTGAAAAGGACGTTCTGAGATATTTGAGAGTTTAACACTTTGAAACAAAATTACAAGATTCAAAAAGGTTGACTGTTAGCAAATATGTGAATGATTGGCCATAGCAAATGATTATGCAGAAATTTGCACTAAATTAGCAAATCGGAAACGACCGAGACAATAATTCATCAGATCAGATTTCAAGAAGCAATCCAATAAATTCAGGAAAATTGCAGAAGGACAGGGATTTCCTAAGCTTCAATGGAGTTTGAAGATTTAAGGGGAAAGAAACATGAACTTTGGAGCAGTTATGGAAACTTCAATCATGAATATCAGGAAAATTGTGGGAATTTGAGGAATTGCTGAGAGCTTCAGATACATTCCAAGATCTAAATTGATTGATGAGCGTTTTTCTAATATTTAAAAAAAATCGAGTCATAAGGTAGGAAAATAGCGACAAATGTCAAGAAGCAATATATTCCAGAGAACATCAAGTTTGAAAACAAGAAAAAGTAAGTGCAGAAAACATTGGGAATCTAAGAGATCTTCAAGGATATTCCAGAACCAACATCAGAAGAATGATAAGAACTTCAGAGAAGTTTCAAAAGCTTCAGGAAAGATTAGAGAACATCCGAGTGGTTCACTCATTTTTTAAGAACTTTAAAGCAGCTAAATCAAATGCCGAGAATTTCGAGGATTTTCATTAACAGACTGCAGGATAATAAGATAAGATCCGAGAACTTCTATAAAACTTCGGTCACTTCAGGAAAGCTTCGAGAAGATCAAAGCGGTTCAATCAGCTTCACGGAAACTGCTGGAACTTTTGATAAGTTCTTAGAAATTCAGGGAAGTTATGAAAACTTCAGAGAACTCTACATAATTTGAGAAAAACCGTGAATACTTTATTGAAATTCCAAGAACCTCAGACAAGCTAACAGAGCTTAAGGGGAGACCCAATTACTTTAGGGCAGCATTTCGTGGAAGTTTATAGATCTGTAAGGGTTAGTTTCGATTAATTCTGGACAGAAAAATACTGTCGAATTAAAGGAATGCTGCACCAGGGAAAAATCGAAAAATGAAAATTGCCTAAAAACAGAATAGAGTGTAACTCATCCAAATTTTTCATGCAGTTGGCATTTTCAAGGAAAATGCTTTATCCGAAAACAATCTCTAAACAAATTTCGATTTCAATCCACCGTTTACCCATCCCCCCACCCCCTCTCCCGCCCGAAAGGGCAATGATTAAATTTTATTATTTTTATTATCATTACACCGCCGCGCCACCGCCAGGCCACATTTCTTCCGTTTCAAACGATTTCGACTTCAACGACGACAGCGACGAAGACGACGACGACGACGAGGCGATCCGTTTCCTTTTTATCTTTCCGGTACGACAAAGACGACGACGACGCCTTCGATGTGCCAAACACTGCTGCTTTTCCCCGAAGAGGCGACACGGCAAGAGAAAAAAAAACACGGAAGATTTAATCAAAAAATTCTTCCCCCTTGTGACCCCTCCCCCCTCCCGCACATCACCTTCTGGCAGGGCCGATCACCTTCCCCTTTGCATGAGGACGCCGGAGCCCACGGTTACGATATTGTTTTATGATCTCATATAATACCAGAAAATGATTCGAATAAGGCGCGGTTGTGCTGCACTGGCAAAAAAAGAGGGGGGGGGGGGGGTAGGAAAATTGAAACATTTTTTTCCTTTCTTTTGAGATTATTACATTTTCTCGATATCATAATTTTTCGAATGGAAATTAGAATCGCGAGGGTGATAGAAGCAAAACAACGCACAGTCATCAATTTGCTGTGTCCTACCCCTCGCGCAAGGAACAAGCGAGGGTGCAACGCCTCCTTTGGTGATTATTTTTTTATATTTTTCCATCAAACAACCTCAATGCAACGAGCGATTTCTCGCGAGGAATATTACTAGAAAATTTTAATTATTGTGTGTTGGTGGCGAAACAAGCCCGTTTTGGTCCAGGGGTGGGGGTAATTTGCACAAACACTCACCCACACCCCATGCCTAGCTCTCAAAGGTTATCGAAGCGATTTTCCTCCAGTCATTAATTGATTATCTTTTTTTTTCTCTCTCTTGGGGAAAAAAGTTTCTAATCATTGGGATCCTGAGGGGCACGCATCCCGCGTGCCCGCAGGGGTGGGGTGAAAATTGAAACAAATGACTGGCCTCCCATGGCATTGCATCGCATCGCTTCGAACACGGGAAATAAGGTCAACGCGCGTGTGTCTATTAATAACTTGCCATCAGTCAGTCAGGTCTTGGTGCAGGGGTGGGGGAGATCTAGATCCACCCCTGAGCGGTCGTAGAGTAGCACTCTCCAGTGGCATAGTCATCGTGTTACAGGGAGTAGAAAAAGTGTGATAGACAGGATAATTATTGCGGGGCTCTCTCCATCGCCGTTCAACGCTGGAGAAAGCGATGAAAAGTGGCGATGGTTCTTTTTTACGCTGTCCCACCCCTACTCCTCCTCATCCACGAAGCAATACACACAGGACACAAGGACTATCGGTGATGGACGTGCGGCTGTTTCACGCTTTTGAATGTTTAATGGCGCTGAGTTGTTATCAACACCGGTAATTAATTTATGATCGCTCCCTTATTTTGTTCCGTCCTGCGATGCGTAGGATGGACTCGTCGAATGACATACGATCCCTTTGGAGATGGGATGTCGATGAGTTCAGCAGTGATAGAGGTTAAACGCCCAGTCAAGAAGTGAACACTGAACCCGCTAATGATGGTCAACACGTGGCTACTTTCGGAGGGATAGGAATCTCACGCTAAAGACCATAATTACGTTTTCGGTTTTGAGGCGTTAAATGTGATGAAACAGTGATTTTCCGCGGCCGTCACGCTGCTACACGGCCTCAATGCGAGTGTGTGTGTGTGATTTCTACGCATGGGGACGTCAGGTGATAAATTTCGAGTTAGAATTTGATAACAACGCGGTGCACGGTGGCGAGCAACCGTGAAAGCGCATAGAAATTTTTCGCTGACGCCGACACCGAGCCGGCAAGGCAAACAAAAAAGTCCCACCCCTGCGTCCTTCATACATGGTTGGTAGCAGAAAGCAGAAGCAGTAACGGCAGCGCCATCTATCGTTATTATTACTGTTATTATCATCAAACATGGTTTACCCTTCGCGCGAAAAGCAACCGAGTCGTTCGCGAAAATGTTTACACCGTTCACGGCCTACTGCCGTGCGATGCGATGGGCGGTGAGGGGTAGGAAATTCGCTTCTGTACCTACCGTGTGTAGCGTGCAAATATTTTTTTTTTTCGGGGCTCTCAGCTGACTTTTGACCGCAACGTGGTGGTTGCCTTGCTTGGTCGTAGGTAAACACAGGAACTCCTGTTTGTGGACATCCCGGTCAAACAACAAAGTAGAAAAAAAAGGAGTGGATAAATGTACCCACTAGAGAGCGAACTGGATTAGCGAGGCTGTCCCGGGAGTGATAATTTATTAGTTGGAGATCAGAAACATGACACAGCAAAAGGCAAACGATATGCCGCCGAGGGAGCTGACGACGGCCAGCAGTTTGAGGAAGCTGAAGACGACCGTGGCGGGGATCTTGGGGAGTTTGATGGAGGGGGCCGGCTCGTCACGGGATTGGTCCGAAAGCCATCGGTGGTGACGGGAAATGTCCGTTAGACGCAGACGGCAATGGGTGCCATGGCAGGGTTCGGGGATTGAGGACACCAACCCGATAAGGATGGATTGATTGTTGTGCACTTGGAAGAGAGGGCTTCCAAGGGTGGTGTCACACATCGGTGGGGTGTAGAGTTCTTCCTGGGAAGTCTTCTGTCGTTGACCGAAGCAAGGGTCGTTGCCCAGGATGGGAACTTCTTGAAGCCCGGAAGTCGTATCCACGGATGCCACTCCGGAAGGTCTCTCCTTGATATCCATCAGTCCAATCAAACTGCCACTAACCGGAAAAGGATCATCTACGTAAAGCTGCACGAAGAGATTTAGTTTAAGATCTCAAACTGCCAACAATGGCGTAACTGGAAAACTTACCAATGCCAGATCAGCTGAGGGATGTACCGTAACATTTACAACCTTCCGATCCTGACTCCGACAGTCCCCCTTCACATCATACAGCACACCGTCCGGCACTGGATGGACACAGGAAGCTACCGTCACAACCCGAACTCTATCGACCACCGTCCCTCGGCAAACCCTTACGCCACCGTTCCATTGTTGATGAATCGTTACAATCCGCGGGGTCTGCAGCGGAATCGATAGGACCTGTGTACAAACTGTCAGAAGAAACAGCACCGCTGTTGTTGTCCGATGCATCGCGCAAAACTCATCGATTACTAGATTGTCTTTCTCGTGATGAATTTTTAATTTTGTTGGTATAGAGCAGCTTAGGCACTGGACTGTCAACAGATACTTTTCAACCTATCATTTCGTCGGTCGTTCGAAAACCGCATATTCAATACTTTTTTTTTTCGAGTCCACCTTGCGCAGATGGGGGTGTGTGAGTGCGGGTAGACATAAAGATAGGGATCAGCGCAGGGTGTGCAAATATAGATGGACGAATGGACGATGGTTCGACCAGACAGAAGCTATCGACTGCACTAGATTTGATGGGTTTAGGGTTTGATTTTGTCCTATTTTTTTTTTCGCTTAAGCTTGTGGTCTATGAATAGATGTGGGATGCATGTTTGTTTTCACGAAGGGCGAAGGGCCGAGCATCATGTTCATTTTTTTTAAGGTGTGCGTTTAGACGAAGGGTGCGAAACATAACGGTGTAGATTTTAGAGTGTGGCAATTTTTTTTTGGGCGAGCACTGAGAGAAATGGACTTTCTGAATTTGCGGGTTGAAATTATTGAATGGATTTTATTAAGTCTTCATGTAGTTTTTTTTAGTGCAAAATGGGCTCTGAACTGCGGGTGATTTTATGTCGGTCCAGTTTGACGTTTTAAGTAAAGGTAATACGACGTTCTAGAACTGATTTCACGCAGTATAAGCTGTCTTGCAATGTGCACTCATGCGGAAAATCAGCTACAGTTTGAACTGGATAGGGTGTAGGATAAGCGAGATTAGATGCGGATTCAAATCAAATTGTGTTCGCAACCTACACACAAAATCATCGCCTCTCTGTTCGGTAAATTTCGGAGTTTTTGAACAGAAAAATTTCAGAGTTTAGATGAAATGCTATTCTAATATCAACGTGAAGCTTTAGTAGAATAATTCATTAGCTAGAGAATGTTCCGGTGAGGATATTTGGATAGTTCCCCTAGAGTACGGCAGTATGAAAATTGAATAGAAGTTGAAATTGAGCACTGCTTGGTCACATCCATCGGCACACCTTTGGCATACCTTCGGCACAATGTCGTAGTCATTGGCTTGTTGTTTATAAAATGGGAGCACTGCTGGACAACTGTCATTGAAGTTATTCACAACATTACGTGCCGTTTGACTGTATATTCATATAGATCTAAATACAAAATGTAGGTTCTAGAGTGGGCTCAAGAGAAGAAGGCAGTTAATCAAACCCCATTAGTACCCTTAAATCAAATAATGCTGCAACTCACACCAAACAAACTACAGAAGTCTATTCATCATCCTCTATAATCGGTCTCCTACAATGTTTCCCACCGGTTCCAACTTTGAGGGCATTATAAAACCCTAAAACACAGGACTTTTACTATCCTATGACACAAAATACCAAAATTTCATACACCCGCCATTTCCCGCGTCATCATCAATCCGATTTATGCTTGCGATTTCAAACCAAAACACTCAAGGTGTCAGAAATACCGCGTTGCCCGTTTTTCCCGTCCGAAATACTGCGTTGTGTATTTTACAAACAATCGCAGCCTGCTCTAAGACCGGCACACTGACAAAAAAGATGACCCAAGATTGGTGTGCGGAGTGACCTACCCCTTGGCTAAAGGCGTATAAGATCAACCTCGAGTAAGACGAAAATCGTCCAGAAGTTGTCTTAAGCCGATCCGATTTCTCAAGCGTTGATAGACGTGAGCGAAAATCTCGGACTCAGTAATCTGATTGCTCAAGGTTCGAATCCAGTCTGATCCGTTTTATAATATTTTTTTTTTTGATTTTGATAAGCTGACTTATGAATTTAATTGATTCGATGTTTATCAGGTCAAACTTACGACATCCATATTAAATCCTTGTGGGGGGAAATCAGAAGTGGTTCCTATGGGATTCTTAAGCTAATTTGTCTCAGTTTGGTAGAGGATCGCCAACGCTAAACATATTTAAAAAAAAAAACTATTTGATATTATATGTAGCAAAGCGAAAAAAAAAATCATTTCGAATCGTGGAAAAGAGGCAACCCAAAACACGCTTTTCTGACGCTCATAGAGTTAAAAGGAATTCAAATTAAACATAAGTCTCGAAAATACGAATTTCCATCAGTACGGCAACTCTAACTTTTCTCTTCTTTCTTTCTCATTACAGGTACATATTCCAATAAATTGGTCATCGAAAATGGACTCACACTGATTGTAAGCTAAACGTCCATTTGAACTACCGTTTTCTTGAGGTAGCCGGGCACTTTGGACCTATTAGCTACTTCTGACTTTCTCGATGGTCAAAATCGCTGCGATCACCCTTGAAAGCTTAATTATACCAAGCTGTCGCTTGGATCCATCCCTAGCAAGGTCAGTTTTCTCGTTCATCTCACGAACAGTGTTGCCAGGTCATTTTTCAGGAAAATCTGATCCAGCAAAAATAGAAAATCTGGAAAAATCTGGAATACTCTGAAACAACCAAGCCACGTCGAATCCTAATTTTAAAATAATGCTATTGAAATTAAATTGAAGTGCCAGTCTCCCGGAAAGAATCTTTTAGTTTTATCCTCTGGAATTTATTCAACGTACTTGAAAGTTTATGATTACCAAAAGAATTGTACAGTTGACGTACATTATATACAGCAAATAAATTGTTAACAGAGATAAAAGCCATACAATATTAAGAAAAGTAATGGCACAATTCGTTCAACAAGTTGAGCTGAAAAATGCGGTCCCAGGTCTTTTTTATATTAAAGAGATTGATGGTCATATCACTTCTTTATCGTGAATTTTGCGAATCTTATCGTCGTCGTCGTCGTCGGTGCCGGATTTGAATGGTTACAACAATTATGTGATATGAGGGGCTCGGTGGCCTTAAAGCGACCGTTTTTGCTTACTGAGCCGAGCATCATGAGTTTAATCTCAGGTCCATCCACATTCAAAATTCGCTATTCGTTTTATTTGTTAGTATGCCTATATGGTAATAACAACTCGATACTTAAAAAGGAGCTCGTTTGACTAGTGGTAAACGTTTTTACTTACTACGCAGAAAAACCAAAGGCTGCTCAGGCTGACAATTTGATTCTAGACAACGTTCAACACACAACACCCAGTAGACCAGTTTATGGAATATTCAGCGGGCTGAAGCGGGAATTAAATCCTCACTTCGTGGCACACACAAACACAGTTTATCTAAACTACGGGTAACTCCACTAACCGCATTACCACTCAATATGAGCACACAGACATAACGCAAACCCTATGCGAATGTGGTTTCCTCTAAAACCTAAGCAGTTCGAATGATTTGGGATGCAGCTGCAAAGGTAAACGGTGTATCCTTCAACGGAAGGGCTATTGAAGGGTCCGGATCTGCTAACTCCACTTCCGAAAGTGCTGTCTCGATTTCGACAACGGCAAGTAGCTGCCGTAGGGGACGTGCGGGAGATGTATCACCAATTTTTCATTCGGCGGGTGGACCGCATGGCTCAGTGCTATGGAGTCCTGATCCAAGCGCAATACATTAAGAACCTAAATGCGAAAGATTTTGAGCATGAAGTTTCCGGAAGCGGCAGTTGCTATAGTAGAAAACCATTATGTGGTTTGTGGTACTTGGATAGCCGGGACACCGAAGAGGAAATGACGAAGCTGTCTATAGACGTTCGTACCGTTCACGCCAAAGCTGGATTCGAAATCAGAAATTGGCTGTCGAACTCATCGAAGGTGCTGCAAGGTATCGGAGAGCAGAACGTCGTTCATCGCAAAGAATTCGGCAACGATAAGGTTAATCAGGTTGAACGAGTTCTGGGAATGGCATGGTTACCAAATGAGGACGAATTCATCTTCAGCTTCTCGTTACCGGATGATCTACAGTGTCTCGTGTCGGGAGATTCACCGCCAACGAAGAGGAAGATTCTGCGATTCATTATGAGCTTGTACGATCCCCTCGGTCTGATCTCTCACATTCTCATCCATGGGAAAATATTGATCCAAGCTCTGATACAGTAGTGTCGTGGATAAGATCAGATGCTAGTCGCAGTGAGAGTCGGAGAAATCTTGGAGGATACAAACATTCAAGAATGGCGACACGTTCCGTCTAGACTCAACGTTGCTGATGACGGTACGAAGTGGAAGGGAGTTCCTGATTTGCGTCCATCCAATCGGTGGTTTGCAGGTCCAAACTTCCTATACAAACCTGAAGACCAGTGGCCGCAGCAGAAGGTAAATTACATCGAAGTTGCTGAAGAACTGCGGGCAGCTCACGTCCATAGGGAAATCGTTAGCACAAGCTTCATCGATTGCAGTCGATTCTCGAAATGGGAACGTCTGTTACGTACTACGGCGCTCGTCTATCGTTTTTTTTTTGGGAAAATGTCGTGCGCATGCGAATTTGGACCAGGATGACTTCAAGAAAGCAGAGCAAGCGTTATGGCGAATGGCGCAAGCGGAAACATACGCAGATGAAATAACTACTTTGAGGAGAACTCCGAACAGGAGTAGTGATGCTTGAGCAAGCGTTGAGAAAACTAGTCCGATAAGTCCGTTTATCGACGATTGTTGTATACTCCGGATGGGTGGTCGTATAGGTGTCTCACCATATAATACGTTCAACGCGAAGTATCCAGTGATCTTGCCAAAGAATCATCCTATCACCGAGCTACTGATCGATTGGTACCACAGGATGTACGGTCATCGAAACGGAGAGACCGTTGTCAATGTGATCAGGCATAAGTATCAAGTCTCGAACATGCGCACAGAAGTTAGGAAAGCTGCAAGGCGATGTCAATGGTGCCGCGTATACAAGGCTCAACCAGAGGTTCCTCGCATGGCTCCACTCCCGGAGGAACGTGTGACTCCATTTGTCCACTCGTTTACCATGGTCGGCATCAAGATTGGTCGAAGTCTGGTAAAGCGATGGGCCGTGCTCTACACATGACTAATCATTAGAGCTGTACATCTGGAGGTCGTAGCATCTCTCTCGTCGGAATCGTGCAAGTTAGCATTAAGGCGCTTCATCGCTCATCGTTCAAATA